CGGGTTGGCTGATCCGTAAGACAGCCTCCGAACCAGCACAATTACTGAAGTCTGCCACTCTGGTTTGCTTTGTCTTGGCAATCGCTTCCAGCAAACAGTGTTTGCTCTTTACTAGACGCGTCTCCGAAAGCGAGTACCACGCTTTCCTAATTTTGCTGTGCTTCGGATGTTAGCCAGGGCCATAGTGGAATCGAATTTGACCCCCGGCTTCTCCCCGTGCTCGTTAATTACATACAAAACCTTCGGACGCCTTCTCGTCCTTCCCGTAGCCATAAAAAATCGCTTATGCCTTATAGCTTCCCTTGGGACAGAGACGTTTATAGAATTTCTCTTTGAAGCCGCATTGTCCTGTCATGTCTCATAAACTCACGTTGAAATACACGCTGAACGTTACTCTGAGCGCGCTGTTCGTATACCTTGTCGGCCAGCTGTTCGTGATTCTCACCTTTAGGGCCGCAAATTCCTCTACCCACCTTTCGGGCGATGCCGTCTGGGGATCACAATCAGCTCATTAACGTGTTTTTATTGCCACCCATCGGACTGTTGCCGCCAAAATTATACATGAGTAGATTAGATTCGTTATGTGCTAGTTGCAACGAACGTTTCACAGCCACTCGCTCTACTGTTATAAATCCGTAGGCCTGTATTTGTTCATATATTTACACGATAATATTTGGCCTATTATAACGTACATAAAGATGACCGTCCATGCAAGAAAAAATCGCTTGCCTGAGATGATATCAACTGACGGCCTGATGCATCGATTCAGGGCAAAATTGAAGTGGGCAATCTTCGAATACGGATCTCTGCAAAATATCCCTACGCGGCAGGGATAATTTGTTTTATAAAAGCAAAAAACCCACTATTGCTCTTTAGAGACGTAGCGTCGAATTTTCAGTTAATAGCTCGCAACGACTTACTATTGATATTAGATCGCTTTTTGTTACACCTTCAACTCGTTTCAGGTGGGATTAGTTTGCGCATCAAATGGAAGCTGAGTGAATAAGTCTCTACCAACATAATTGACGGTCGAACACGCTCAGTGTTTCAAAATACATACGTTAGTAAAACAGGTTATATTAGGGATGCTCCTAAAGAATTTGCCACCCTTGAAATATCGTTGACAAACACGTGAAAATTTCATAGTAACCTAAGTAATCTTCCCACATCTATTGAAAAAACTATCTCCCAATTGATTCATCTTACAGTTTAGAGCTTAACGGAACGAAAATGGAAAGAATAAATATTAGTTAGAAAATAATATTCCACGGCACGGAACAAGGTAACGAGGATAAAACATGTGTGAATATTTGAGCGCCAATAAACGCAATTAACAAACCAGAGTTTGGAAAACAAGACCTATATAGGACGCGGATGATATAGATCAAGAACCTCTGTTTCCGTGGTTCTATCTGAGAATCTGGGATTGTTAGAATGTCAGTTTAAGGCATAAACAAGCACCAAGGTCATAAAATTAGTATAAATAAAAAGACCTCCAAAAATACCTCAAATACACGCAACCCTGTACGTAATCATGGTGAATCCGCGGAAGGTAAGGCTAGGTAAATTAGGAGCTCGAAGAGAAGCAGACCCGTTACGTCACTTGAAAGCCACCTATGTGCACTGTATGTATACATTGAAATATTAATAAAACCAGCAAAACTACTTTAATATACTTGTAAAAAAAGTAGGAAGGAAGGGTAATCACTTCTCTTAGTTTCTGAACAATAGAATAGCATCGATTTTACCAGCCATGCTATTCTTACTGCAGAATTCAAATCCCGCAGCGAGACCCTGGATTTAGCATTTCTCATTCCGGTTCGGGTCTCAGTTTTCCCGCGTGGCATCCTCGGAGCTCTCTTCGTTACCACGACTGGCTTTGAAATTTCAAAGGGGAAAAAGAATGTATCCAAAATCAAAGAAGAATCAGATCTTGCTCTATTATATTACAATTGCGAAGCAGAAAAGCTTTTGGGTATTAGAATCTGACACTTAGTGCTGTTTTGAAAAACGGTGCTCAAAGATCTGCCGACTGACATGCCTATTCCAAGTCTATCAACTTTTGGAACCTAGTGTAGTTTGTCAGCTAATACAATGTACACAAAAAGTATATTTAACTCCGATTTCGCTATAGTTATCCTATGAAGTTTTTCTAAGGCGTCGTTGTTAAGAAGGGTGACATTGTCTTGTCTCGTCTTTACTGTTATGTATCATCGTTTATTTGATGCAACTGGGCCATTTATAAATCTTTGTTGACCATTTTATTTTTCCCAAGCGCATCTTAGCATATAAAACCCCTTTAACTCTAAAGTCGAGGCCTTTTTCGCATAAAAGTAGGGGTTAATTCGAAACTAAGGCTTATCTTCTGGAATAACCAGTTTCTTTACTTACACCTTATTAACATTAAGAAGTTTTTTCTAATCATTCGTAACGAATCCACGCAGAAACCTGACGTTGTGGCTGCACATGGCGCGTTGCCGAATGAGATTTGAGAAGCGTTAAAAAGCCGTGTCTTTCGATGTTTCTCATTCAGTTTATGGGGTATTCAGGCCCCGCGACCTCTTTGGTAAATCCCATTTAGTATTGGCCATATTTAACTGTATCGTCTCGCTTTGTCTTCTAATACAAATAAAATTACGTTTAGCAGCCAATAAAATTACAATGATCTGATAGAAAGGAAGATAAATAATCAAGATATAAAGAAGGAAGTAAATATTCGACAAAAACCATCACTTGGAACAAATCTAATGCAATATACTTTAGTGGCCTACGTACATGCTTTTCCCGTTCTTCATTTCGACAAAACAGTGCAGACCAAACAACGTACCCGTCCATTTAAGAGAACGTCTCTCACCCTACGCATGCACATACGAATTAGGACCGAATGGCATCTTCGATCTTTTTTAAGAGGGAATTTATGCCCCTTTTGCACTGGGTTGAAGGAACTACTTTCCTTTAAAGACTGCCTTGCCCTTTAATAATTATTGTTCAGATATATAAAAAAAAAAAAAAGATTATTTACCGATGCAATTGCCGAGGGCCTTTCTGTTAAACCTGATGGAGTTTCACGTACACTGTGGATGTAAACGCGTTCGCTAAAGATAAATCGCTGCGTACTATTATTATTACTATCAAACAGTGTCTTAATATTATTAGGTCGCTTGATATGAAACGAAACATTGTGAACTCTAACCAAAGTTCTTTTACAAGCTTACTTCTTTTGTTTCCAGTCGAGATATGCATCATTATTATTATTATTATTTATGACTTCTATTATTTAGATGGCAATGTTCTGCTACTGTAAAAGTCTGGGGTACAAAAACCTATGGGATTTATGCACGCAATTGCAACATAATGTTGAAACTTAAGTAACTTTTATTATTACGTGGTCGAGATTTTTAGGAAATGGCAATCGATAGATGACAACAAGCCTCTCTAACTTCTGCATTCCTCCCATCATTATTCGTACGCTGTGATATTAAGAATCATCGTGCAACAGGAATGATTTATTTATAACCTTTTACGTTTGCCTGAGGGTGATGTTCTACGGTTTAGTTGGTCACCCGTAGGATACATTTTTCTGAATCGATGAACCAGTTTGGTTAACGAATGAACCATTGCTATAACGTGTAAGCAAAAAGACGCTACCATCATTGCGTCTATGTCTGTGACCATGTGGCACCCGTTTGTCCATATTTTACTTTATTAGTCTCACCGTGAACAAGTGTCATATTTTGACATGCATAAATTTAGAATGCTAACACCGGCACACTTTGAGATGGGTCAGTCTTCATTGCAGCCCCCAACTCTTCGTTACTCACTTTCATAAGGAGCCTTCCACGAGACCCACTTCAGGTTCGAAATTTTCTTCGAAGAATTTTTTGAACCAGCAGCTCACAGCGTTCCTAGTAGTAGAACCTTCGCTGAATACAAGGTTTACGAAGCGAGCTGTCTCCGTCATTATAGTTCCTACATAAAACTATGCACAGTTTTCTGTGGCTCATTACAACACGCAAATAAAAACTCAGGTGACGTCCAAGTGAATGGTCTCCGATTTAAAATATTATGAAATTCGAATATTAAAAAAAAAAAAAAAAAAAAAAAAGTGTCGCTAAATGTCGCATCGTCCTGAAATAGTGTTATTTTGATGTGATCCACTTGGCTGAATAACAAATACCACCATTTTTGTCTCCCCGAACATAGTTGAATACAAGTTGTAACTTGAGCTATAAAATTTAAATTCGAGAGTCGAGCGGTGTCCAAAGGTAAGTAAAGCGTTGCATCTAATCCCCAAATGGAAAAAAAAAACAATCCAATTCTCATGTTTAGCTAAATAATGGACGAATAAAGTAAGTTCTATTTGGAACTATCTAACTAGTTTTTTTTTTCACCGAACAAACCAAGATGCCTTCGCGGTACCGTTATATTAACCATTGGCCCCCCATCGCTCACCTTCTGTCGTTATGTTTTTCGAATGGTTGTTATGGGAATATGACAGACGAGTAGGCACCCAACAATCAGGCTTTGTTCGATACGCTCCATCGCGATATTTGAATGCATGATAAGATCTCATAGTTTCTACGACCTTAGTAACGATATAGGTGTTTCAACCGCTGATCGTTTAATTATAATCGAGTGAGAGACTGCTCGATCTATCCGCAACGGTCACATATAAATAGTTCTCGTTGTCCTTGGGCGTTATCACCTAGTTAAGTTAAGTTACAGTTTCCTTAAATGTTAATTTAAAATGCCTGAAGAAGAGGTTTAATAACATGTCTGCATATCACATTACTATCAGTACAAAAGGTCATTGTTAGCTCTAAAGCGAATCAATTTTATCTGTTATACTGTTATCTCTGATATCATAACATTAATGCATAACATGTCACGATCTACTTTCCCATCGGTGAAACAAAATCACAAATTTTGACGTTTTTTTTTTTTCGTTTTTTACGTTTCTACTAAAAATTTCACGTTCTAACTACGAATATTGTTCATACCTGGTGTCCCCTTATGAAGCTCTAGCATTTACATTCTTTTGAGAGCGTTTTCCATCAGCGTTTAGCGATGACACCCGCGTTCAACATAAAATTTCTTCATGGTATTATGTCACACTTCATGCTAGTGCATACCACAGTACTACGGTGCATAAGCCAGACTTAGAATTTTGTGTCTTTCAGCACGGATTAGCAGCCACCTTTAAATGTCCCGTTGAGTAATATTAGTGTATCAGTTTTTTTTCGAGTTCTCACTCCGCGGTAGTCTATGCCGACAACCTTTCGGTGGGTATAAACGTAAACCTGCAATAATTGAAATGTCCGGTACGGTATTTTTCCGCCATCGACAGAAAGTCAAAGGTGTCGGCAATATCTGTCTATATCGCTTCTGTTATAATAGACAATCACACTTTGTTTTTTCTGTTTTGCGGGGTTGATACTTTGGGCCGGACTGATCGAACGACCAGGTGGTTTGTGCCTGAAAGTATGATGAGGAACAGACAAGCAGATATACAGACGGATCTGTTTAACTGGCGTACTTCAATGCCGTCTCCCCGTTCGTTCAAAAGCACACCTATCTTGCCTGCTGTCAGGGTGCTCTATCGTTACGTACGCGGGTAACCAATCGGAGATTGTGCATGGCGACTACAAAGTTAGGACTCGTCGTCAGTGCCTGCATAAACTGTTCAACTGCGAGCAGTATTCGCTACTACTGTTCGGATCTATCTTTCGGGCCGTGACGGTTGCCGCGATCACAAGGTAGGACAGCCCGTATCTATCCTAACGTCAGCTGGGTCTTTTCTGTGGGTGCATTCATTCCGTAAGCGTCGTCTGACATCCTTCAGCACTTCACAAGTAGAAAGCTTAGCGCGACCAGCCGGTACTCAAGCGCCGGCCAGCGCAACAGAGCCTCGCCAGCTGCGCGCACAAACTTCAGTAGAGTCAAATAGTGTGGGATTAAAGAGGAACAGCACGAGCAGTAGTGGCCTACACTGGCAACGATCAACCGCTGTCACAACTACTAGTACTTCTACTGGCAACAAACACACGATCACATCTACTAATACCGTCGTGTGCGCGGTGATGCATGGCAGAGCCAGCAAGAGCTACTTTTCATAACAGAGGCGAGGGTGAACAGCTAACCGGAGAGAACGGGAAGGGCTGAGATGCCAGATCCCCCAGAGGCAGCAGCTGCGGTAAGACTGACACCAGTGAAGCCCGTAACAAAACTATTTTCGGTCTCTGTTTATTTAGAATAACTGCAGTTCCTTGAGTGCACTGAGCTAGCCATTTTATTGTCGTAACCCACATCATTGACACGACCTCATTATAATACACAATGTTGACCAATGCATACTTATCCAGAAAGATTTTAAAGCCTTTTCGTAAAAAACTTCAACGTGATCTATCATCTTCGACGCAAAATCGTATCGAACGTCACCGGTGTACGTTCATTCATCCGACAACCACGCCTGCCCAAGCAAACCACTAAAGTACTTACTCTAGGTGAGATAGATAATTTATAGATCTCTAAGGAACAACGATTGTTTAAATAGGTACAGTCCTAGTAAATAGATATACCCGCATATATCCCGCCTGTAGCCAATATTACAAGAGTTAACTTACCCCGATAAACTTACAGTGTCGTTTAAGAAGCTAATCGCGCTCGTACACTGCAAATTTAGCATATTCACTTCTGTTTATTGATTTGAATGAATTGAAAGTTTTACTAAATTTCGTTGCGTTAAACAATTGTCCCTCTTCATTCGGGAATGTGCAAATAGGCATTCAGTCCGTAAATTTCCTAGAGTATTTATATTCACCAAAAAAAATTAAAGTTATATTGGGCTAAGTTAGTTGTAAATACGTGTTGTTTACCCGCGCAGAAGCAAAACAACATTTGTGATACACAGACAGGCCCACGATCGTGTGACAAAGCGACTGGGTATACAATAAAATAAGGAAATGGCTGGACATTCAGGGATTTAAAAACCTTACCACTACGAGTGTTAAGTTATTCCTGGCGAATGTGTCGCAATTTCCGTCTTACGTACTGCTAAACGTAAGCTAGTAACCGGACAAAATTATCTAAATATGGAAAACGAAAATTTTTTTTTGCCTTTGAGCGAATTCAGATGAGCTGTTACGGCATCGGCTGAAGATGTTCTAAAGGGTTACGGGATCTACAAAAAACAACGTCAATACTATGATTTAAGTTGCTGTGATTCGTTCTATACATACTTACTTACGATAACTTTGAGAAAGTATTTTTAACATTTCCCTGTCGAAATTGTGCACATTTCTATACCCATTTGCCAATAATTTGTTCTATTATTGACCAAAAATAGCCCTTAAAACTTACTCGGCTTTAGGAAATTTTCGCCCATGCATGTAAGTCATTTCTCCTAAGAACCGAAATCTTTATTTAGTGTATTTCTAAAATAAAACCTCAAAACAGCCCAGCATCGTCAAAGCCTCTAGGTCTCGGTAAATCTGCCCTTGTTCCTTTTCTTTTGTGCCTTTATGTTATTACCCCTTATAAAAAATGGTTCTAAATGAGCACCAAAGCTTTCTGATATTGCAGTTAGTAAATGTTACGCAAATGCGTGCTCGGTAGCCAGCGTACAAATACAGAAAGACAATTTTGTATTGACAACCTTTTCTTTCTTGTCATTGCCAATGTTCATTTAAGCTGCTTAGGTCTGCCTAAGAAAACTAAGTAAATTGCTTTAAGGACTTAGCCTTAACTTACATCAAGCAAAATATTTTTGCACAGTGTCCTGAAATAGGGCATTGAATATTTTTCCAGTTGCTACATTTAGCAATGAACATAACAGGTGTTAATTTCACTGAAATAAGGTGAGGTTCCGGGATGTTTGTGGTGAAATATAACACGTGTGCAAAAAAAAAGTCGTCTCATACATCTATCTATTCCAATAGCACGAAATTCATAGGGATATACCCTTCATAGAGAAAAAACCAAAACTAGGGAGATGTTTGGGTACCTATAGTTACATAACTAAACTTCAACAGTTCGACTGTCTCTAACCACAACGATGAATCTGTCCGGTTTTGTCTCGAAGATCGAGGGAGCTCCTGGCTTCTTTTAACGGAAGTTATGGATTTTCATCGTGCGTGCACTTCCTTCAGCGTCGTATAAGTCGCTCTTTGTTGTTCGGTTAATAGCTGGTCGCAAAGCCCAAAGTCTTTTTCCTCCAAAGAAGCACAGCATTTGGTAGCTGTGTGTTTGGTGACTGTCAACAACTGATACAGGAAGTATATAATGCCAGTAGTTTGCGCCAACTCCTTCTTTCACTGATATAAAAACACTTTAATCCGAAAGTTCTACATAAAACTTTAACTTCGTTGACCTCTCTGTTACATATTTAGTAAATGAATAAATAAACTTATTTTGACCGCGGCCCGCGGTGGTAGCATTCATAAAGCCTTCTGTTTAATTCCTGAGATCGGCGCACTACAAAGCATGCTTTTCACTAGGTGTCATCGAACCCTATCATAACCGCTTAAAACATTATTGAACGTTGTAAATTTCTATCGTTATAACTTCGTGCTATCTTCGGATTGTCTTAATATTTTATTTATTTGACCTTTTTTTGATTGTCTAGGTCTAAAACTCTGTGTATTTATGGCCAGTTTTGTTTTTAAACGTTGTGTCAGAGATATCGTATAGATCGTGGCGTTTTCTAAAGCTCTATTCTATCTTCTAATGAGCGAAAAAGAAAACCCGGAAAAACGTGTGTGTAATTCCAGAAAATAGAATAAAATTCTATTGGGAAGGGTGTAGCAAGCAAGAATCAATAAAAATACATAGGCAACAGAAAAAAAGGACATATCTAGAGGCCTATATCTCAAAACGTATATATATATATATATATACATATGTGTGTGTGTGTTAAATATTATAGTGCCAGTACTTACGACTAGGCTTGATAAGTACAAATGGATTGAAAGTCATCAGAATATTTGTATGACGAAACTATTTAATCATCAAATCTTCATAGAGATTGGGGTTTCGTAATATATATATATATAATGCTTAATAAAGGGTACCAAACATAAAAAGATAATGTTTATCCTCACATTATGTCTGTGCCAATATACTCACATGCCAGATAACACTCTTCTACTTGTTGTTGTTTATCTAAAATGCTAAGTGGGTTATGGCACCAACTATGTTTCAATTATGTAGTATTTTTGATATATTCGATGTTTCATACGATGGCTTTATTTACTCTATTTAAGAAGGAAAGATTTAAGATTTCTCACATTAATTTTTTTCACCTTATGGATAGCATTTTTCAACCACTGAAAGCTGAATTTTTTTTATCGAAAGCTGAAATATTCATACCCCTAGAAAAATTCTCATAGATAAAATCCTAACCAATATTACTGTATGTCAACATTGGTGTGATAATATATATAATAATATATAATAATATTATTATATATAATATATTAAGAAGTACAACTGTCCACCAAAAGAAAAGCCACAGATTTCTTTGTGAATGGCAAAAACGCATGGCTTTTTATATTCTTTTTGTATAGGTATCCAATTAATTCACAATTATATAGGGGCTATCTCCGGTAGATCATCATTTATATGACTTTAGTTAATTTGTGAGAAATCTATTCCGATATAAATGGACGCTTTAAACGGCTAAGTTTTGTCGAAATCGACTTCTTCCAGGACGACCGAATGTCGCAACTTTAGAAGTAAACTCTATCATCTATTTACCCATGATGCTGCAGAAAAATTCATAAAATATGTAAAATATATAAACAGTGAATATTTATTAAGAAGTTATAAAAGACATAATTTTTTAACTATATATATATATATACGCAAACTATCTGATGTTTCATATACCTGAAACATATAATGTGATGGAAAATCTTGATCGCAATCTAATGGCAAAAAAATAGTACCGAGGTTAATGGCTAATATTAACCGCCATTTTTGGCAACAACACTATAGCACAGAATAGTAACTGACTGTTTTTCTAATAAAAAAACAAAGAAAGGGTAAGAAAACTGTTTTTCACAAACAATTCATTGCGACAATGATTTTCAGGACTATTTTTATAGCGCTTACTACTGAGTAATAAAAAGCACTGATAGAGAGTAAACAACTTTTATTTTTTCAAACAAAAGAATTTCGTGATAACAAGAATTATTACAGTTTTACAAACTTCTTCGTTGTAGTACCATCTTTATTAACACTACTGCTACCTTTCAGTAAAGATTGGCTACATTTTGCCGAAGCTTTGGATCCAGCTGTGAATTAATCTACGTCTCAATTTATTTAGAGGACATGAAGTAGCACAGAAGTCGAGCCGCAAATGCGCGCTACCTATATACATCATGGCAATTGTCTGTTCTTCTTCTATGCACGTATGTAGGTGACTTGCTATGCGGTTATTTAGAAAAACGAAGATACGTGTAGCGTACCTCTTATATCTATGAATATGCTTCTATCTACTGCAATTAAATAAATATCTTTGCCGTCCTCATATGGGAAAGTTGCAAAGACAAATGGCAGCCAGAGGTGAGGGTCCATTTAACGTTCGGGCTTGATACAGGAAACTAGTCTTCGATCACCTAATTGGGTGAGCTTGCTCTTCATAGTTAGTATAAACAATGGCTACGAGGCTTTTTGTGCTTCATTTATCATGGCTTAAGTTATCGCCTTCTAAGTCTTTTTTTAGACGTTAAAACTTCTGCTTTATAGGCTATCCGGTACCACTGACCGACAGCAATGCCCGCTGTTAAATACTTCGCTCAGCCTCGGCTCACGACGATGCTTGGCACTGGTTCTGCGGCTGACTGGACCTAGGCTTTTTGCCGCCGCCACTATCCTCACTGGCTGTCAAGGAACCATCCGCTGTCAGCGGCATTACGCGACTCTGCGGACGCGGCCTTAATTTGCGTCAAAGTTCGGAAACTTCAAGCTGACCTAGTCGATTAGGTGTACCCATTTTAGCATTGAAGATATTACTGTAATCAACGCCGACATCGAGGACCGTGTTGAAGTTGTTGCGATGGTGGCCCTGATGCAGCCCTTGATGTCCTTGATGCACCTCGTGGCGATGGTTATGGCCTTGTCTGGGAACAGAGGGGGCTGACGCCTTCCCGTGACTGTGCATCTGAGTCTTCTGTAACGTGTGAGCCTGAGTACAGCTCTGGGGACTGATTACATAGCGGTCGTTAACCAGGTTCGAAGTTGAATATCTGTCGCTTCCTGATCCTGAAGCTTGGTCAGTATGATCATGATCTTGATCTGCAACAGCATTCTCGTCAAGCGAGTTCGAATCGCTGTGGGGTGCACGCTGAAGATCTTCATCATCCTTGTGGAACCATTCGTTGTCGTACGAATGCATCCAAATGGGATTGCTGCCCTCGACAGAATGCTGGTTAGTGTTAGGTAAGTCGTGGCGTATGTGAGCTGAGCCACTGTTGCTCGTACCAAAAGCTGCCACAGTTGCTGCCTTTAGCTGGCGCTGATATCGCTTTTTTTGGGCCACACAAAGCGAAATTACAAGAACCAGCATCACAGTTAGGAACACAACAAGGCCCATCAGCCATGTCTTGAACGGGTCGTCTTCTTCAATGCGCACAATCGAGGCTTCTGCCGGCTGCAGTGTCATAATAAACATATATCATAATAACAACAACAATTATTATACTAGTTAATAAGTAGAGAAAAATTCTGTCTAGTTTAAGGTTTTTCCTATTCTCAAATAGGTACTACTTGTTAGTGTGTGTAGAATATCAATAATAGCTTTCTGCTATATTTTTGGAAAAAGTTTGTATGAGCTAACGAACTAATGAAGGCTACGCCACATGAACTGCGACGGTATTTATTATAGAAATACATTTATTACATAAAATATATGAGCTTACCTCACTATGCAATACGTTAAAATCTTTGAAGAGTTTGTCGAGGAAGAAGGAGTTTTGATCAATGAGGCTTATCGCTGTCATTACTTCCATAATCGTGTTATCATGGCGGTTAACAAAGTGTAGATATATATCGCTCCTTGAATCATGACAAAAACCCACAACCCCATTAAAAGGTGGATAGTGTTAAGAAGCCTACCTGAAACATAAGGTTAATAAACTCCTAGACCAATGACATTGTCTGTTCTCTTTTCTAAGTTGACAGTTTTACGCCGTATCTTAAAATCCGTGTAATGGGTAGGCTAAAGATGCTATCATCTTATTTTCGAATTAGAAGGTTCTTAGCAGGTCCTTATATTGTGTGGACTGGGTCCTTTCGGAAAGGCTGAGATTGGTTAGCGCTGATAGCTCCGCGATTAAGTACAGTAATTGGGGCATAATGAGGCTCGATTTTGAATACATTATGAATGGAATATAGTTGTATCTAAAGATGATTCTTCGCAGTACAAAGAAAATACGCTATTTGAGGACTGACCCAAAGGGGTAGCTGAAAATATGGCGGCCGAATTTAATTTCAGTTTCAGATGGGTCCAACATTTTCCTGAATCAATAAAATAGACGGCGTATTAAGTGATCTCAACTTATTGAGCCGCTGTTGTGTGACACTCAATTCTGTGATAATGTGATATTTTTAAAAAGCTATTTAAAAGAATCTCTAAAATGTTGCAAACCATGTTTAAAATGTGGTCGAAAATGGATCAGAGTATTAGGTAAACCAGCTTAAAGGCATTTAAAGGCCTATATTTAACTCACTTTGTTCGATCAACAGTTCCATCATCATTTTCGTGCACTTTAACTTCATCGATGTTGACGATGGCCCCTGTGATATTGGCCATGACCATACGGAATTCTGACTCTTTTTCCTTGAACTCATCTGGCGTCAATCGAAGCACAAACCGCACCCGTTGATCCTCGCGTAGGAGATAGATCTGAAAATTGGTTACGAATTACCAGTCTGGTCAAACTCTGCGGGAACTAAGTTCACTGATTTTATAGTTGAAAGCACTTTTGTTTATTGCATCAAATAGCTCCTTTTATTAAAAATTCAGATATGTGCCTAGAAAATAAGATTCTGATTGTTTACGGAAATGGAAAAGCTTAAGAAGCTAGGTAATGGGTGTTAGGTAGCAGCGTTACGATACGATAAGTGTATTTAAGGTACGGCTTAAAGCTTTATTTCTTTTTGTATCGAAAGCTTACATAGACGTTGGCGGTATCAAATAATCCCTCAGAGTCGTTGGCAATGACCTTGAAGTCGAAGTACCCTTTCATGCCTCTCTGAGGGTAAAAGTTGAGAGCGATTTCTCCAGTGTGTCGATCTAGCACAAACGGCGAACCTTGGATCGGGTCAAGACCTTCGCTGAGGGTTCGACGCACCTCTCCTTCAAGGAAATATGACACACGACTGTTTTCTCCGTGATCGATGTCGATAGCCTGTAGGATAAATGCAGAATACTCAAGTTCTAGTACTTAAGCACACTAAGTTTTTAAGGCGAAATATCGTATCAACAATTATAATTTAGACAAGTATTGTAAAAAACGTTTAAAGACTGACCTGCACTTTCATAAATGTTATCCCAAAGTTGGCTTCTGTAGTAACTCCACCTGTGAAGACACGGCTAACGAAGCGCGGGGGATTGTCATTCACGTCAAGCACCTTGAAACGAGACGACGAAGAATCCAAGCATAATTTGTGACTATTGTCCTGGATCTATTTTCTACGACGTTATTTAAATAGATCCAGAATATAGGCAGCTTAAGCTTAGGTGTTATGATTCGTAGCTGTAAAAAAAGTGTACATAATAATTTTACCTTAATGTCAACCTGCAAAAGGGAATTATCTTTTGGATCGAATGCAGTGACGTGTCGTGGTTGGTGAAAGCAATCATCCGAAGCCTGTACAATTAGAGAGTATTGGGCACGCTCTTCACGATCGAGCACTTCTGTGGCAACGAGCTGATGCGTAAAGATGTCCAAAGAAAAATGGTTATCCTCATTCCCACCTTGAATAGAACCAATTAAGATGAAATGTCTCAAGTTCAACGAAGCATAATTTCATATGACAAGATATTTTGTACTTAGGTTTATAGTATTTATAAATGAGTTTGACTATTTTGCAGTAAATCTCGAATTATAGGGCGACGTATTAATTTATATAAAAAGATGGGCGCTGTATATCTTACAAGACCATTAGGTTTTTGCTTTATATATCATATGTTTTATAGTTAGAATAAGGGTAAGTAACAAACTTACAACGAGCGCAAACACTTCCTGATAATTGGTTTTAACATACCGACAATATAATAGCACGGGATGGGTTTATTTTGGCCGAAATCATCGTCACGATCGACTGTGGCCAGCAGTTTGTACATTTCCTGTCCGGGAGACATGTTTTCTGTGAAAGTAAGCTGGAATACGTCTTGCGTGAATTCCGGCGCATAGTCGTTTACATCCGTGACGTAGATCGTGAGGTCGAGGTCGCTGGTGAGCGTCGTAGGTGATCCCTGCTCAGTAACGTGATACAGAGTTACTGAAACAATTCAATGCCTTTCCCATTTTCTGCACGGAACATTTAAAACGTACCAATGTATATGTTGCCTATATTTCAATTGTATTTGGAAGAACTGATTTGAAAGGCTAATTAACTTGATAATGAAATCTTTACCTGGGTATCAGGTGATTGACTGCTAAAAAGGACCCTTCTATAGGCCAGTTTGACAATCACAATTGGTAACGTCCGCTATAGTAATAATCACACACACCTGGTCACTAGCCTTAACCCGCAGCTCGTATACTTTCTGCGTCTCTCGGTCCAATGGAGCGCGGAGTGTCACTACGCCGGTGATTTCATCAATTGCAAATGATCTCCAATGATTATTCTGAAGACTCTTTAATCGGTAACGCACTTGAGCATTTGCACCATGGTCTGCATCATCCGCCAAGACCTCGACCACTATTGTGCCAATTGTGGCGTTCTATGATAACAAGAGACACAGCTAAGTTAGAGATAAGCAACTAGACAACCTTATACAGACAGTAAGGACTTTTATTACTATTATTATTATGACTTATATCTCAGGCCTTAGAATAGTCTTGTAAGCCAGTGTGAATTCGGTGTGATTGCTTGGGGCACTTGAAAAGCGTTTGAACAAAACGTGTTTCACCCTTTTTTTAAATAGTATCTTTTTTTTTTTTTTTATTATTAGAGCTCAACAGTATATATTGCTGGTTTGTCAATATATGATTTTTATCGATGGTGTAACGGGTAAAATGTAATAGGAACGGATTGCTTGTTCGAATCCTGTAACAGGACATTTACCTGATTTCAAATTGCGCTCTTTCAAAATTACCAAATAGTGTCGTGTCGCTGGAGCTGTGTGGTTAGCTATGTTACGTTATAGATATAAACGTCCTCCAACCTTTCGTGTAAGTTATGTCAATAATGTAATTTCGCTGTAAATTATAAATTAATGATAAATAAATTATGAGAAAATAAAACGAGGTGAGGTTCAAATTTAGTCCGGGTGATTAATACGTTAGGCAGAAGAAAGTTTACAACTAAACAGGTGTCTAAGTCGACTGATTTATTACCTCAGGAATTCGTATGGTGTAATTTTGTGGAGGTTTAATGAAAACCGGTGCATGATCATTCACGTCCTGCACGCAAACATTGAATTTCTCTATTGAATTAAGTGTCGGGAAACCCTGATCTCGAGCCTTCAGTGTTAGAGAATAGTTCCCAACCTTCCCGCGGATCGAATTCTTGGTCAGGATTCGAGCCTGATTATCAGCAAGAGTTTCAACGTCGAACACTTCTGCAACGAACACAGTGTTCCAAATTATACAAGTATAATCATTTGTGACCAACGGTCACTACGCAAATCAGTCGCTCCCTTTATGTATTAATTAGGTTAAAGCGATTGAGGACTGAAAATACCATTTTCAGGTTGATCGATGTCCATCGAAAAGACAATTCTTGAATTGAGGCTTCCGGGTTCATCTTTGTCCGACGCGCTAACTGTCAACACGGTCTCACCAGATTTTAGGAATTCTGACACTTCGGCACATTCGCCGGGCTCTTGCCTCACAATTACAGGAGGTTCATCGTTTACGTCACTCAAATGGATGGTAATCTGAAAAACAGACGAAAAGGAGACATAGTCAGAGCTTGTATAATATTGCACTATCTGCCTGATTACATAATCATGTAATAACTTAGTTTATTGCCCACTTGTCTTACGTATAATAATGTATTCATATAGAGATTTTATATAGATAAAAGCTTTACTTTAGTTAAAAGCTAACTTGTTTGAACGATCGTCGACTTTGGTCGGTTCCAACTCCGGCTTCGTAATTATCCCACGCCTGAACGATCAATGTAAACTGAGGAATATCTTCGCGATCCAATAAAGCTGCCACGGATATTATTCCCTGAAGGTTTCAAGAGCGAGTAGGGAATATGCTTTTTATAACATATGATAAAACACGCTTTTAAACAATATTTCACAGTAGCTAACCTTGGAAACAGGATTCACACATACCCAATTCATATTTGCGATTGTTATTTTCACAAAAGAAAAACATTTACAAAGGAATGCACAGTTATTGTGAGATTCTGCTTTCTATGCAGGATGTCTATTGTTCTAAGAGCTCGAAGCAATATTGAAATAGACGCTGTCGCTTCTATGAAGGCGGAGATTAGAGTTCAAAGACAAAACAGAGCAAAATTTAAAAATAGTGGAAAAAGGCATAGGCTTAAATTTGCGAACGCTATTGCTTCTTAGTCAAGCCTAAGCTAGTTCAACTAGCTTACCTATTTCATAACTGATGGTAACTTTTGTAATAACTATTTGGTTGAAATATATATAACAGCCGTTTACTACAAATTTTTCGTTTCTCCTTCACCTTTGCATTTTTCACACTATTAGAAAATGCTCTTTTTTCTGTTGAACTATCATGGAGCACGGAAGCTCATATCGAATTTAGGCTTTAAAGATAAAGGCTTCCTATGAAAAATACGTGCATTTCGTGTATTCATTCCATTTTACCTTTAGTCAAAAGCAGAAGCTGCCGAAACGGCTTGAAATACTTATACGATGCACGGTAAAGGATCTTCTAAGGTAAGAATTTTAGACCTGCAGGATGTACTCAATCCGAAAGTCAATTAGGACCTCGTATGGCGAACAAGTACTAAGTGGTCAGGAAGGCAAGCGGTGATTACTAACCCATTATCAAACGTCTTGAATGTATGCAAGTTTATCGGAAGTTAGAAACCTGTGTGTGCCATGGGCTTGAGTACATGCTCAAGGTGATACGGTGATATTGATCCTCAATAAGAAATTCGCTCTCCGCCGAACAACGGACAGCTATCACAGCAAATTTATATACAAAATGGTTACGACTGATAAAAAGTTGTGCTTTTACGGCTAGCAAAGAAATGAATAGCAAATGAAGCAAAGAAAAGACCAGTTAGCTCCAGAAAATACGTGTAAGCTCTGATTCGAAGCAATTCCTAAAGTAAACATGATTTGTGATCAGTGAAAGGGTCTTATATATTGAAAAAAACGTTTAAGAAGAACAAACGGTCAACAAGGATCTCTGTATAATTCAGTTGCTTAAACGGTACGTGTCTATCAGAAGAAAAGGCTCACTAAACTTATGCTTCAACCCAATTAAACCTACGTTATTCCAAAACGTAAGAATTTGTTCGACATGTATATTATGGGCAGTCTAATAATATTTATGCAGATCAAGCTTAACTGTTGAGCAATATTAAAAATTCCACTGATTTGAGAGCTTGATATTAAAATCTAAATTTCTTGTTTGTTACCTCACCAGTCAAAATATAAACAAGATAAGCAATTAATACAACCATTTAAGCTATTTCAACTATTGTTATATAATCAGATATTAAACTATAGCACAAGCAATAAAAGTATGAACAAATCTATAAGGAATTATTTGAGGGTCGATGTCAGGTTTTCAAGAAGTCAAATTTTTGTTATCATACGCACGGTGTCTTTGTCGATCTTGAATTTTCCATGAGTACCCGAAGGGTCAAGAGCATAGGTAATGCGTCCATGTTCTCCAGCGTCAGCATCCGTCGCCTCCAGTTGAGCAACGATTGTACCGAGCGGGCTGTCCTCTGACACGTGGAATTCTGTGAGGCCTTCGATGAACACTGGGTTATTGTCATTTTCGTCTAGCACCTGAATACTCAATGATGTCATGCCTGTTAAGGGTGGCACGCCAGAATCGGTTGCTTTCAATGTGACATTGATCCAGGACGTAGTTTCCCGATCAATTTTGTCACTGACGAGTACCTCTCCAGTTTTTCTATCGATGCTAATGAGCTTTAATAGATCTGAGGGCCCTTCAAGACTATAGGTAATAGAACGATTTTTATCAATGTCCATTGCTCGAACGGTAACAACTGGAGATCCAATTTTCGAATTCTCAGTCACAGCTTCTCTATAAAATGGTTTGCGAAACACAGGAGCGTTGTCATTGACATCTCCAACTTTGATGTTTAGGATGGCCTGGCTTAGTTGATCCCCAGATACGCCAGCCTCGTCAGCGACCTGCACACATATTTTTATTGCCTCTATCTTTTCGCGATCCAGCCGTTGCCTAAGGTAGATTTTTCCGGTTTTCAGGTCAACCCGAAATGTATCTGATGCATTAAATGGCACTAGAGTGCTTTCCTCGTTCTTGGCTTCACTGCCGAGAGCATCATCTCCATTGCAGAGAGAGTAACTTAGGTCAGGGTTATCATCCGGATCTGTGGCAACAAGCTGGCCAACTTGCTCTCCAAGTTCCATGTCTTCCACAATGTGAACAACTCCGGGTGGACGCAGTGTGGGCGGTTTGTTGTTGACATCGACAATGCTTATATTAACCCGGCAGGCTGCCCACATTTGCTGGTCGCCCAAGCCCCCATCTAACGCTATAATAGTAAGCATATATAATTTGGATTTCGGATAAGTGCGATCTGGATCAAGATAAGCGCCTGGAGCCACTGATATAACACCGCTCACTGCGTCTATAACGAACTTATCCTGAGCTCCACTTTCTATCCTATATGCGATTTTAGAGAAAGCGGGCGAGTCATCAGCATCGATGGCTTCTACCCTTACAACGCTGCTCCCTTCACGAATATTTTCGGGTATCGCTTGTAAATAAAAGTTCTGAAGAAACATAGGCGCGTTGTCATTGACATCCTGAACAAATATTTTGACCGTTATGTTACTTGCTAGTGGGGGTTGACCGGCATCGATCGCTTTCACAGTAAGAGTGAGAACACGGATATCCCCGCGAGGCTGCGATATCGCCTCGAAGTCCACAGGAATTCGCGGTTTTATTTCACCAGTATTTTCATTGATAGTGAAGTTGTTGACATAATCGAGAAGTTCATATCGTATAGCCGAATTCGATGTGTTCGCCTGGTCCGCATCACTTGCATGCACCACAAGAGGGTTGCTAAAGTCTACACTCAAGACACACATAAAAATGTATTGTATTACTTGTAAGTAACTGCATAGTGTTGAAAAAACTTCACCAACAAAACTTTTTTTTTTTACATACGGTAAGTCGTTGCAGAAAAACCGTTTGAGAAAGGAAAAATAGAGATCTAAATTGTGGGTTTACTCACGGAGATCATTCTCTCTTAAGCGAGCCTCGTAGACAGGTAGATCAAAGAGAGGCGGGTTATCGTTAACGTCCTCAAGAAACACTTCAAGTTGAACAGTGTTCCTGCTGCCTTTTCCGAGCTCATCCCGGGCTTCAACAGTAACGAGAAACTGGGGGACCGTTTCACGGTCGAAACCATGCTCGTTCGTGGCAATGCTAATTTCACCAGTGATCGGATCTAAGCGTAGTCTATATACCAGCACAACAATTACCTTATTTTAGAATAGATTAAGCTTTATTCCGTACGGTATACTCGAACTGCTTTAACCGCTTGAAGGCTCTAAACTATGCATAGTTTACGTTTATACAAATAAAGCGTAATAATAAATAAAAGCGTAAAGTAAACTTTACGCTTATATAAATACGAACGGCCATATATATAAGCTGATTAGTTAAGTAATCACCAGAAAAAATCATGCAAATTTTAAGAAATAAACATGCTTATAGCAAACTGTTAAAAGCTGGAGTTGCTCGATATATCCGAGGAGCTATATTATTTTTTATAAGTTGAATCCAATTCAGATATGTTTAGTAATTCTGCTAAATTATGTTCTATAATACTGAGTTATTAAGAGCGATCATAATTGCACCTACTTATCCGCCATTGGGCCGCGAATGCTCGTGTACCGAACGCCGACGGTGCCAAAGAGCTCCGAATCGCTGTCTTCAGCCTGCACTCGTGCTATGATAGTTCCCACTTGAGCGTCTTCTCGAACTCGTGCATTATACGATTCTTCAAGAAACAAAGGAAAATTGTCATTGGCGTCGCGTATGTAAACAATAACCTCCGCCGTTGAGCTTTTAGGTCTTTCGTTGACTTCTTTGGCTATCAGGTTGAATCGAACAACCTTTTTCTGCTCAAAATCGATCAGCTGAGGTCGTCTAACACGAATCACAAAGGACGCCTCATTAATAACCTCTGCAGGGGATACCTCAAAAGTTCCTTCCGGGTCATCGAGAATCAGGCGAAACGTGCCATTTGTTCCCTGGTCTTGATCAAACACCTCAGGGGTAGCGTTTCCAAGAAATGTAATAGGCGCATTTATTTGAGCATTCTCAATGATTTCTGCGTAATAAAGCAGACTTCGGAAGGTCGGAGCTTCATCATTAACGTCTGTAAGTACGACAGTAACTTCCGTTCGAGCCACGGAGTCAGCGATCGCTGAACCCACCTCGGTCGCTTCAATCTGAAGAATGAAGGCACCATTGCGATACTCCGTAGCTTCTCGATCTAGACGCCCGCTAGTCGTTACAACTCCTGTCCTCTCGTCGATAGAAAACAAGCCTAGGTGATTACCAGCACGAATGCTATAACTAATCAGGTTATCAATGCCGCGGTCACCGTCTTGAGCCTTAACGGATAAAATTGACGCCCCTACTGGCAAATCTTCGGGAATTCGAGTTACAGCGGGAACCTGGGTAAATACGGGTGGTTGGTCCTCCAAGTCCTCCACCTTAACAATTACCACTGCTGTTGCAGTATGTCGAGGACCTTGCCGAGCGCGATCCTGAAGTAAAAATAATTTCTCTTAATTTTTCTGCAACTAACTATCTGTTATATAGTTTGACAGTACGTTATTTTATTGGTTACAGTATATAGAAAAAAGGTATGTAATAAAAAAAAGCCATTCATGGAAAACCCATCAGATGGCTGTCTGTCTGTCGCAATCGGTTTTTCACGAAACTTTCTGGCTTATCATACTTATGTTCATTATAGCTAGGCTTCGATTTTCTCATCTTTGCCAAATGTAAGTCAATTCCATTGTAAATACCAAGGTTTATCACAATACTGAGACATACTTAGTTTTAAGTACAATCACATAATAGAATACTCACAATTGCAAGCACGCGTAGTTCATAAACGAATTTTCTCTCGTAATCAAGCTGACCGACCAGTGAAATTCGGGCTTGAGTGCCTTTCTGCTGGAGTTTGAATGCCGATAGGGTCTCCGCATCGGTATTCTGCAAACACAGAACGGCAGAATCGATAAAGTTTGATTCATGACTACCTGCAAGCAGTCGGTGTGATATATCCGTTTGTATAAAGCCGTTAGAAGTTGACCGTTTATCTGCTATTAGGTATCTGAAAACTGGTTGCCAGTTACCTGTAGCTGGTAAACGACCTGTCCAAAAGGACCTTGATCTTGGTCAGTGGCCTCGAGGGTGTCTACGAGTTGCGGAGGCGCTCCTTCGGCCATGACGTGCGAAGTCCGATAGGCTTTGAAGATTGGTTCATTATCGTTTACGTCATCAACGATGATCACAAGCGTTTGGTGAATCTAGGAAAATGAATATACCATGAGGAATATGCAGACATCAGTGTTGATCATATCGATTTTTATCTATTCGCGAGCTTGATTCGTCTGCATTTTATCAGTTCCCAAAAACAGAGTATACTTAACTGTATGGAGATGGGCAATAGAGGAGCGAACGGACGTATGATGGAACGATATTAGTGGAAAAGCACCGAAAAGGACATGTCAGTTTGAAACGCAATCATTGTGCTTAATAATAGCATTGTCAGGCAGGGGAGGATAAAGGGATATGTAACGGTGGTTCCGCCCTGTTGTCCTGTGTCGGGCTAGTAGTTGTCATTAGCAAGCACCGCCGTTGCTACCGAAGTTTTTTGTTGTAATTGAATAGATTGAATCGAGTGACAAGTATATACCTATCTAAATACGATAGCTATAATACAGTCACTACTTGCCATTGTATGATTTGCTGTGTTAACCAGGGGTCACGTGCGACAAATACTAGTCAATACTACGATGGCAGACCAGAGTAGCGCAACAGCATCGGCAAGCACTGGAATGAAACAAGTTTCGCTTGTCAACTGTCGATGTTGACTTCAGAATTTGACGACCCCAACAATAGACCGCGACAACATGAACGAGCTGCAAAGTTGGCCATTGCCACCAACGCCACTGTCGCTTCTACCTTAATGATGAGTTGTTGTTCCTTCTTGTTCAAGAGGAGGCGTAAGAAAAAGATCGATGAGGATGAATTAATGTAAGTGAATATAGGATCGATAGAAAGGTAAGCTACATCGAAGGCATGAGTCGTCGTGCGGTGATGCCGTTACTGCTGATAGCGATACCCTCGGCTAGCAGCGCCAACTGGTCCAGAGTCGAAGGCATTCAACGCCAGCTATCGCCCAACTACAGGTTCGGTCTAAACTGTATCATAGTTTGGTCAGAGGCTGCTGAAGCGCTTGTCTGCGTCTGATGGCGCCGTGCTGCACCAGATGGTGTCTGCGACAGACGAAATGTGACAACGACGACAGCGACGACAGCGACAGCGACAGCAACAGCAACAACAACAACAACAACAACAAGCAAAGAGCCTCGATAAACGAAGAGACAGCTACTGATTGAGGTGCAGATGATATGGGGGGTATTGCTACTGCAGCCACCTTTTTTTTTTGACTGCTACCACTTCGGTAACGAATGTTGAAGCCATAGATACAACTATGACTACTACCTGCCGCGCAAGAGCTCTAGAGGAGAAGGTAGAGACAGGCATCACAAAGTTAGAACTATGCGGAGATTGCCACCGCTCATTGGACGATAGGAACATTAGCATGAATGAAGAAAACGCCGTGTCATTTTTATTAATACTATCGTTGTCCTTATTCCCTCCCGTACGATCTGCCCATCCGCTTTTCTTCTGTGACTAGTTCAAAAGCGCCCGGAACATCTTCGATAGCAAATGAATTAATAATAGGCACAAGCGGATAAAGTATCGAGACGGACAAGCTGAATTGCTGAACCTTGTGTAGTAACAGGCCACTAGAAGAGACTTTGATTGCGTTGCTTCCAATCAGGGTATCCAGCCGATTTTTAAGGCAGCCTTAATTTGGGGAATTCTAAAAATCCTACACAAATCGTAAGACTGTTTGGTGCTTTACCATTGATGACGGTGTTTTTTTAACTTCTGTCAAATCTTCTGGCATATTTTTCATTATATACTGATCTGTCTGTAAACTAAATAGATAATCATTATTCATGTCGCTCTTATGACTGGCCTACCTGTGACCAGCTTTCAGTTTCAACAATAAACAACTGTTTCGCGACAATTATGACAAAAAAAAAAATGTAGCGTTATTTTTTCTCCAGTAGACCCATCACTCAGTGTGATCGTTTTCTTTATAATAACTAGGGTGTATATCTTTAATACAGAGAGGCTAAAAAAAAAAAAAAAAAAAAAAAAAAAAAGTAAATAGAAATCACTGTTATACTTACAAATTGTCCATCCGCAAGTCTTCCGTCAGTGAGGGTAAGCACTATCGTGTACGAGTCGCGAACCTGAAAGCAGAAATATTCCACCCGAAATCGTTAGATTTTTAGTGCTGTATTAAAAATTTAACGATTACCGTGATATTTATATACAGGTTGTAGTCATAAACTAGATTTATCTGTGTACTTTCTATATTTGCTAGTTAGATCTTACCCTATTACTGACAGCTTTTCAGTGAGATACGGTACATTTCTCGCTATTGTCGAATGAATGTTTATGTATAATAGTGCTATTTATCTTAGCTGAGAAAGCAATCTATTTTATATAAAATTTGATAATAATTTGAAAAAAAAAAGATAATATAAAAATTAATTTATCTACAGCGTAATTGAAACCCAAATATATTACATTGATTGCTACTGCAGGATTTAGTACATGAAATAGTTGTTTTTTTTTTTTTATTCCTTAAGATTTCAACGTCTCAGTGTAAGTGTGGATCGATATCTTTCGATTAGATCGTATCAAATACTGTTTTGTGTTCGTCCAAGTGAGATAAGATTCGTTGTCATTTAATAGCCAGATTATGAATATAGAATTAGCGTGGTATATATACATATATATATATATATATATTTTTGTTTGATTTTCACAAATGTCAACAATGATAATTACGCTTCTTTTCTCTTTTACGCAATTAAGGACGCCACATACAATAACTGCAGTTAGTGGCCTACATGTAGAGATGCATGTTCTTTACTACATACGTTGCTTTTTGTAAATGAATAAGCAGATTCCCGGGTATAAAGGGTGTATTTACATATAAAAAATCATAGCATTTCTGTAGCGACGTAGCCCCTGTCGATTTTTCGCCATTGTGAATTTGGTAGTTATTAACTAGATCTAGTTTGTTAATAAGTAAAAAGTGCCTCCCTAGTTTAATTTAATTGGAATTCACTGATGGTCCTGGGTTATGTCATGTGAGCCTATTCATCGTTACCCTCGATGTTGTTGCCACTATCTTACACAGCTCTCTGCGCGAATAGAGACATTTACTTCGCCGTGTTGGAGGTCGAATGAGGTTGAGTTTTTTGCACCAGTTTTCTAATGTTTTCTATTTGAACTTGCACCAATAACGCCTTGCCCAGTTTACAACAGATCTATATTATGATCTCGTTGGCGCTGTAGGTCGAAAGTAACAAAGGCGATTACAGCAAAATTGTATTAGTTGTTCATACACGTTGAGGAAAAATGGCCATCTTTCGAGCTCTGCTACAACGTACAAGATACAATCCTGTTGTGTTTTCGCAACTGTTTGTCGGAAGAACTCAACAAACAGTGACCTCTGACCTTTCCGCTTCGTTGGTCCACTAAAAAGCTATTGTGTCCTACCGTGCGGTTAGTTATAACGGGGAAAAGGTATAGGAGAAAACGGACACGGGGAACAGACCCTGTAATGCTACAAGAAGCTAGGGTAGAGAAATTGGATTGTGCTAGCAAATAATAATCACACTGTTCTTTCTCCTTCAGTTGTTCCTCTGGTGACGACGTTCAAACGCCACTGGAAGGGGGGGGGGGGGGTCGTTTTGGTGGCTCTGGCAAGCGCCCATGCACATAGATATTTGATAAAATAGTGTTGTTGTTGTTGTTGTTGTCGTCGTACAATCTGAACGCGTAAACGTCGCTCTCTGTCATCAAATTTAAAACAGGAGCATTTTCGAGACGACAAATGCAAATGATCCTATTAAGCACTATTATTCATTTGGTGGGCCACTATGTTACGCATAACGACTTAACGCCGACAGGTAAGTGAACCCCACAACGAAAATACAGAGATGTGTTCTCCCTGGTGGTTGAGGATTAAACAGGATCTGAGTTACCGAAGTTTTCTGCCCCACGCTACAGGAACTATTGTTGCCCATCCACGTGGTCGAATAATCACTGGGAATCGGCTATTTTTCCAGGATTCTCCTTTTAATAAAGTAGCAGTGCTTTTCATTTCTACTTATACAGTAAATCCGATTTTTTTGCTGTTTTTTTTCTTTTATGAGCGCGTCACGAAGGACTGTTATTCGCAACAACGAAGTACTTATCTAACTTTCCCGGGCCGGAAAGGCAGAACACGTAAATACATTTCAACATGTTATGCTATTTGAATCTCCGACAGCTGAATATATTAAATAAGGCCGAACATGATTTAGCCCTTTACCAGGCGCTAATGGTTAATCAAATGTGCTCGATGATATCAAAAGGCCATTATTAGTCGAAGATAAGTTACAACTTACATTAGCACACTATGACGATAAAGGGAAAGCATTCGTACTAATTTTTAAAAATGCATTGAACAAAAGTTGTTCAAGAATTTAACAACAACATCAAGTTACTCTTATATTAAAAACCAAATGTCTATTTAACAAATGATGATGATGATCATCATGCTAAACGTAATATTATTAGTTTGTTTTTAAATAACATCTTTTAGTTTCTAGATGTGTCATGACTGTTCCATAGAATAGATATAGAAATAGAAACTACTATCTCTACATCCCGATTTATTGTATAATTTAATTTTCTTATCACAGCATTGTTTCTATTTCAGTTGATTAGCTGCTAACGTTATAAGTTTACTTGAAAGTATATTAGAAAGTATACAAACAATGAATAGATTGCAGGAGGATCAAGGCTTTCGAGTAACTCGAAGAACTTAGCCCACGTCCGCCGTAAGTTATGTGGAGCAACTTCAATATGCCATTTATAATCTTATAATTTATTGACGCCGTTCATTTACTTAATAATTCTAACATCATTCTAAATACTAAACACTTGTTCAAAATCGATTGATTCATATTTAGCGAGATTTAAAATTAGGATCTGGAACGATGTTACGCCGTATGCATTGAAATCAGACTATAATATTCTACAAGACTGAAAGCTAATTTTCAACGTACCTCTCTATCGAGCTCTTTTTTAAGATACACTTCTGATTCCGTTTTCGATTTTCGCTCAAATCGAAGTAGTTCGTTTCCATCAGGACCTAGGGCCCCAAAGGTCAACGTGTCACCATCAACGTCTTCCCCTCGTAAACGATATAACACCTTCCCTGAAACGTGATAGATAACACCGTAACTTTGATGGTCAGATGAATTTTAAGTTACTAAATCCTTACTCCTCAAATTTCAGTAAAGTTAAACTAAGTACCGTGTTTAAAATTTATTTGCTCATAGAAGTAACATCATTCTACATTTAGTTTTTTTTTTTATGGTTATTAAAACGAATCACGTGTGCTATAACGTCTTCTTAGGGAGATCTTGGCCAAATCTGATTGCGAATATTACCATTGTATTGGGCAATACCAACAGCATAATAAACTGTAAATTAAAACGCACAACTTCTCTTCTAGTAAAGGCAAATAATCTTGTAGTTAAATAGTTAAGGAAGATACTCACCTAAACTTTCGGACCCCTCTTTGACTGTGACCACCAGCTCACTGACACCTCCAACGGAAAATTTAGGCAGATTGTTTTTGAAGCCTGAAAGTAAAATAAATATTTTGCAACTGATTCCGTCATCGGTCACGATGGAACAACCTTCATAGAAATGCAATACACAATAGTTACGGCGAAGCCCGTCATTTACTGTTCACTGTTGTCTAGATGCCGGTTATAACCATACTATGAGTTACCACCTCACACTGCTGTGTATATACAAACTCACTATGAAAAAAGCAAACATTTGGTCTTTGAATAAAATATAAAATATGGAACCACCTAAATACGCTAGATGTTCGCATGGCTTGCACAGCCTTCCTGGTAGACAGACAACTAGAGTCTAAGTAATTAATCATCCTTATGCAGAATGAAGTGCGTTGGATTCACTTGTAATGTTGCCCGTGCCATCTAGAAACTGTATTTAAAAAACGTGTCAGAAGAGGTAGGGGTACATAGGCTTCTAGTCGTAAATAGAATATTATTGCTGATATGACTCCACATCGGAAACGATTACTGTGTTTCTTCCATATATATATATATATATATATATATATACATGCATGCAGCTGGCGGGGTCTAAACTGGCCATCCCTAGCTCATACAGCCAGAGTTTGCATATCTTACTTGCTTCCTCCCAAAGCAAATGTGCTCGCAGACCATTTTTAAAGTGGCTACACCGTTTTTTGTAATTTTTTTTTAGGCTAGCTTATATAACAAATTATGCTGACGACCGCTTTAGAATATGCTAACTTGATGCCAAAAAAATGAAAACTTTCTTATTGACTTCAATGCTACTAAACTTCGATATTACCGCACGTCCAGCAGCGGTAACTCTAATACTAACGAAACTCGTTTTTACTCGCTCATTGAACTTTAGTTGAAACTATTACAACTGAGAGACAGCCACCGGCTGAAAATTCATGTCGTCGTCTGCACTTGAAAGAACAAACAACAAGCCAAGTAGGACAATTACAGGACAACTAGGCCCGTGAGCACTACATTTTGCTAGATTACCAATATCTGATAGCTCGCAACTAGCCTCAACAAGGCGATATCACTATATCTCCAAATATAATATAAAAAACGCATATAACGTTAAGTGGTGGTCTGCACGGTCAAGCTCCTGGTCGAAAGAAACCAGGGTCCTGCCCAAGTCCAGTCAACAATGACGCAAATACTGCAAATTTCGTGTGATTAAATTAAACTATTATTGCCATTACATAACATTTAACATTATTCATTTCTGTAAAAATTTGTAAGCCATTAAAAATTGCTTGATATTTTTTATTTTTTTTAGAAGAATTTTAGCTCTTGTTTAGCGTGCTGCCACTGTGTAATTTTTTGGGGGCGTTAAAGGTCACTTAATGGGTGTTGTTTGCGAATAGATGAAAGTTGAAAAGTAAAAAGCTAAAGGTTCCGTTTAACACAATATACACGGCAGGGTAAGCACTTAGAATGGCCTATTGTAGTCTTCTGCCTTCTAATACTTTTACCATATCGATAGCTATTACAGCGTTGGAGAAATTACTTTAAAAAATAAAAAAAATTAATATAAATTACCAAATATGGTGCAAGTCGTGTATGGGTTGCTATAAATACTATGGCATGCAGCACTTATGTGACTAGAGATGGTAATCGTCCTGTAAACCGTTTTATCACCGTTAGAGATGGTGCTTGGGTTTGTGCCCTTCTGCAATTTCCAAAAAATACACAATCGACTCGCGCTATGAGCTTTGTCATCATTACGAAACCAAACCCACTCAAATTGATCACTAACGCGTATGTTTATCAGACCTAAAAGAGCCCACCTTAAGGAAAAGCACTCTACTTTCTTCCGCGACGGTCTAATCAAAAATATCAGTGGGTATCAGCTTCACTCGCATGCGAACACAATCCCAAAGAGACACGTACACCCGCGCATCTAGTGACACATTCAGAGGCTATCCTTTCTTTAAGGAAGAGGAATCACGGCTTTGATAGACGTTCGTGGTTTGTCCTACCAGCGCCTATTTCCGACAATCGGAGCCTTCTTGCGATTATTGTCCCCACTACCACTCCTGATAGTCGGCGCTCGTTACTTAAGCACGCTGTCTAATCGAAGGCGAGGACCCTTAACGGTTTTTGACAGAGTTTGCCGGTTAAAGTTTGTACGTTTTCCTATTCGAATAATTGGAGTCGTTTTTATTCTCTGAAAACAAAGGTGCTTTCGAATGACTTAGCAGATTTAAACAGCGACAGCAACAATGATCCAGCTACATGACATCTCCCTGTTCGTTGACCATCTTATACCTAACTACTAAATTTACGGAGTTTTCATTGATTGTGACAACAAATACAGCTCATAGGAACAGTAGAATATTATATATTATACACGCACAAAGTATAATTCACTCACGCAACTGTGAATTTTGTATTGTGAAACTATGTTGGAATAGTTGATTCTATGTATATAATAAGCGTTGTCCTAATTTTGTTTCGAGCCATAGAACACAACTGTTTTGCAGTACCCAAGATAACAATGAACTTAGATATACATATATATTTAATAGCACTTTTTTAGTTACTGCAAAGGATGCATTTATCTTTACGATCTTCAAAAAAAAAATATGTATAACTTTCAATAATAACACACTTACGCTTTGGAAGATATTCGTCATCCTTCAATCTACACAATTTGAGTGGATACTGCTTGCGATCCGCGGTGCATTTTCTCAACAATATATCACAGTAACACTGGTATTAGATCATTATCATTATGACGAGTCTTCAACATGTGTACGCGTACACAACGATAAGAGGTAGCTGCACGAAGAAAGCTGCATGAACGACGTCGCGTTTGACGCTGCCTGTCTTCTACGATGAAACTACAATGGATGTTCTTGCCGTTCTAGCTATGACACTAGGCATTGTTTAATAGTTGTTATTTTGCCTATTATGCAACGGTCGAATAAGTGGTGAAAACTGATGGCGCCCCATGTGAACCCCCACCAATAGTGTAACAACAGCTGGTGCTCGTTACTCTCCCTCGAGACGAGGGAATGAAAAAGGTAAGAAATAGTTATACTAACCCCTAGGACAATGTCTGGTCCCCCTAATGACGGGGCACCGTTAGTAGGTTGTTAGTAGACCGCTTTGGCACTGAATTTCGGCAACGTAATTGCCAAAAGCCAGGAAGGGAACAACTACTAACGGCAGCAAAATCATCATTACTTTGGTTATCTCCTTGTTTAATTGTACGAATAACTGCGGATGCAGTTGATTTACTGCTTCTGTTGCTGATAATAAGGTCGATGATGATAACGTCGACTAAATAATAAAAAGAAACTTGACACGGAAGATGACTGCGACGATAAGGGAAAATGGTCAAAGGGTGAACGTGAGAGGTCAGAATGGTCGTTGCCCTAGCACGTTGAGCATTCGTATTCAAAGTAACGCATGCCACAGTGCAGCGTAAAGCTCGGCTGGTCGACTATGATACGGACCTTCATTTTTGCTTAGTTTTATTGTTTTATTGTACTGGCACACGGGACAGATATAAAGCTTCGAACTGTAAAGTCCCCTACATACAGCATATTTATGTAGTAGATAAATAAGGACTATGGGACACGAATTGGCACGCTAATGAGGAACAGCTGGCGTATCCAGAAAACACTAACTACTACTTCGTTAGCGTTTTATTTTTCTAGAAACGTCCGTGAATAAGCGCACCTATGTGCGAGCACGTGTCCGTGGACGCATCGCGAACGTCGCCAAAAGCACATTCTGCAGTACTCTAGAATAATAGAAGATATGATAGAAGGCGTTAATTGGTTTGAGGCCTTACAATAGAAACCGTTATAATTTGCGCAGCTTTAAAATGATTGTAGGAATCTATTTAATCGAAAACGAAACACAGAATCAGGAAACACAATCCCATGTAAGCACGTAAGCACGGCTAAGTTTATATTTCGAAGAACGAAAAGGAAAAATAGTAAATTCGTAAGAAATAATCTCGGTTGAATATGCTCCTATCAAGATCTTTTAAGTAAGCCCCTTGTAGATCTTTCTCTTTTCGTGTTGTTCGAGCTCCCAGGGGGCATCTAAGTATACATTAGATCACATCATTTGTTATTCCGTTCTAGGGATAGAACAAGAATATGTGTTGGCAAGTTTATTTCCGAAAGGGTTGGTTAGTCTCCTTTCTTTACGGTTGCGTATCTTTCTGAATCACCTGCACTATAGTAATCGGTGAGCAACGTTAAGCAGGATAAACTGGGTAAACGGGATTGTTCACTGAGTGCATGACTACGAATGAGTACAAATAAGTGAATTCGACAACATTCGTCATAACATCGAAGACTTTGAAGTATACTATCGCAGGATTCGTACGATCTGCTTAAAAGTAGCTTAATATTTTGAGCCTTATAAACCTAAGCCGAAAAGTGCTTTCTTTTGGAGCCAAAGTTCTGTAAATTCAGGCTCCCCAGAAACTTTAGGACAAAAATACACTTGTAGAAACTCTATGATATGGCTTTGATTTGAAGATGACTATGAAAGTATGATATATATACAATGAGGTGGTGAGGAACCTGACCAAAGGGGTTTGCTAAGCAGTGTTGCCAGACAAGGCCACTGTAGTTACAAATACGGGTACAAACAACCACGTAAGAGAATGAATTACCTGCCATTAGGTACTAGATGAATAAATGAAATAGGCATATGGGTTTTTGTTATGAAAAGCGTCAGCCGCCAAAAACCGTCTTTCCAGATGCAAAATCACTTAGACCGTATTTTCACCTTGCTTGAAACCGTCGAAACCAAAATGTTAACGACGGTTTTTGATTATCCAATAGATCCCAATAGGAAAACCACCCTATAATATTTGGTTGAAAGATGGAACTAAATACATACAAGTTATGTCATATCTTAGGTGCAACGAGCAACATATGAGTATAAGCTCATTTTTTGAAAGATATACTTCGTTTTGTAAGTGGGGGATAGCGTAGTTGACCTTTGTCCTAGGAAGATTTTAAAGGCTTCGGTTGACGAGCACGTTGTGGTCTAGGTTCGAACACGCGCGTAGACGCACCTCATTTCGTGCTAGAAGCCAGCCACCTTACGGAATGTTTTATGGCGATTAATGGAAAACATAGAGAGTTGACAAAGACCAAGAAAAAAATAAATATCAAGGTACGCAGGACTCTTACAAGGCCACAATCATTAGAGAGGGTTCTCAAAAATAAATTTAAAAGGATTTTTTGGGCTTACTCGGAGCCAGATGCCAAAATCTTTGCAAGACCTTATCGGTGTCTCACAGCGGAGCCTGTGATCTTCTACACATTACTATTAATATTGATTTTTCAAAATTGAAAAATCGGTTGTATTTTTGCGCCGATTTGCGGCGATCTCTTCCTACCAAAGAGTTAAAAAGAAAGATGTGCTAAATAATCTCTACACGTAAAAGACCATCTAAGGATGAACTTGGAAAATTAAATCAAGATCCTTCTTCGCAATTCAGTGTCTATAATGCGTAAATTATTTAAAACAACAAACGTAATAGATATTGGGTAAACAGCAAATGATCTATATACCTGATACAGTCGTCGTCAGGATCGTCGTGAAGAGAGTTAACAAGAAAAGCCATGATGATGGGTGAAAGGGCGCAGATGAACGGCGTCGACAGATAGACACAATTGCATCTCGATACTGTGTTCTACTTTTGATTCCATTGCCAAAAATGCTATAACGTTTCCAACTCCGTCGGGAACTGCCTAACGAGCTGTCGTCACACATCCTGGAGGATGCTGCCTTTCGCTGCTTGAGGAAGGAAACGCCTCATGGGTCTCTTCTGGTCACTCCAGTAGCTACTTCGATCCTTTTATCTCGACATTGTAGACGGAGCATTTAAGAACATTGCTTATTCACAGCACTTCAACATCTGAAAATTGAAATGTATTACTTTGCTAATAGTCGAACATTTTTTAGGTTGCGTATATTCCAGCTAAAGCCGTATTCAGCGGGATAAGCTTACAAGTAGACTGCTATTGAGAATCATACTTGTCTTTGAAGTTTTTTTTTACTGAAACATGCTGCTGAGCTTTAGAACCTATCAAGTTAAGTTAAGTTAGCGAAATTTGATCGTTTAATGCCGCGCTTGATTAGAATCTCACAGGTACTAGAATCAATACAAAAATTGATTACGGAAACAGTAGAAAGTGATCCAGTGTTCAGCTTCGGTCTCTAAACTATTGAAAAAGTTGGGGGGGCTATTACATATGGTGTATAGTAATAATCATGTTGTGCGCCAACAACAAAATGTCGTGCATGTAATTCTTGTCCGAAGTAAAACATAAATTCTTGTCTAAAGAACGGTTTGTAAGTTTAATTTGTGCGGAACAGATACAAGTGGTTGTTTCGTGGTACAAGACAGGGCAAATTCTGAAATCAAATCTTGATTACGCTTATCTATATTGCATACAACTGTGAGAGAGTTCCATTTGCATTCTGGAAAGGGAACGAGGTATTGGTCATCAAGGTCGTGCCCTTTGAATTTCAATAACAATTACATGAGTTACTATTTTGTAGCCATCTATTAACACAGATTCGACAGCCGCTGGCCGGCTTAAAGGTGTCCAACACTGAAATTCGATGGCTTCAATGGAATCCTTAGCGCATTCCCTTGCGCTCCCACGTTCTTTAGTAATCTACTAATGCCGCTATACTGTCCCTATGCTCACAGCCTCGCGTTTTTTAGGCATGTCGATTTGATTGTTTTCGCAACATTTTCAGGCCTTCCTGTGTCTACAGAGGCCACTTCCCTCTTCTGTAGTTATTCGATTGCTCAAAACTCACAATATACATTTGCAAGGCAGTATACAACGGAGGATGATGAACTATTGTGCATAGTAAAACAAAAGCGCAGAGGGATTACTCAGAAGTCTTATTAGCGTCATTATGAGGCAGAGTAAAGCAAAGGAAAATAACGGAGCAGAAGTTCCAACAGCTGTAAGATCTTAAAATACATACTGATTTTTTAATACCTCTTGGTTGAGCCTGCTGCGAAATCACATAAGCAAAACGTTGCATCTAAAAACACAAACGGGAAAACTATGGTAGACACTAGCCACTCGATTAGGCAATAGCAAAGCATATATTTTAAATCATTGCTTTCTTTACTTAGTAGGAAATATATCACATTCGGATCAAAAGCTCGATCGATTGATTGATTGATAACGTAAGCATTTTTTCATAAGAAAGCTATTGCAACACTGTTTTGTTGGGAAACAGCAGATGTACGGTAATGGATAAAGCGGGATAAATGACTCCTGCCTGTCCTGCGCGATGAAGTACCAGGACCAAGTTCACAAATCAAAACCGATTCGTTTGCTTAATTATGTACTAGTATATGATTATTTATAGATCCCTTCTAGCGTGTTTGACACGCCAGCTTTTCTCACAGGTCACCCGCACTCATCTGACAACGGCTTTCTTTCGCGTACAGATAAAATATCTAGGAAAATGTATTTCTGCTTATATAAAAACAATGATACCCCTACTACGTTCTCATGTTGTGACCTGACGATTTCCGAGGGTCATTCATTCAGATGCGACAACTTCGTGAGGTCTTAATATACCGTGCTATAGCTCAATCGGGTCGGCGGCCTGGTTTGTCCACAACAGAGTTGTTGGCGAAAAACTTCTACGACGCTCGACAAAAATAACTATTAGTCATAAAATCGTTTTTATGCGGTTTACTGGACATTATCTATTATGGATAAGATGTTGATTTGCTCGATGAACTGCGAAGTGGTTTGTTTCAATACGAAGTCAGTCCACGTACACATCTGCGCAATCTCACTTGAAGCTGAAACGAAATTACTATTTTCATAAATGGAGTAACGCCAATTATCCATTAGAACTTAAAAAAAAAAAAAAAAAAAAAAAACGTTTTCTCCGTTCACACAACTTCGACGGGGAACTACCTGATCATATAAAAATTGAATTCTACTGGTACTAATTTTTTTCAGACAGAAATGACATCCACTGATGACGCTATTATGTGCAATGATAGCGCCAGCCTTGAACAAAGGCCCTCACGACTGGCTTAAAACCGGCCACAATATCTCTCTGCGTCATCGTTTCTAGACGGCAAATCAAAGCGTCGGTCAAAAATTTAACTTCATTTCAAACTCAATTGTTCCTTGACAGCTACACAGTGGCTGTATCGACGCCGTAGGTTTCACCAAGTTCTACAACAATGCAAGCGTCAATATGATTCTAATTTTTTTTTTTATCAAGCAGCGATTTCACTAAACAAAATAAATACACTTATTGAAGTCACACGAAGGACGTATTTCTTGACATCTATCAGGCTTAATCCAGTGAGAGCAGACTATTCGATCGATCTCTGTCAATATACAGTTCCGCCAAATCCAGACTGGCAGAGTATAACTATCATGGCATATATTTAAATTGTAGACACTTTATATAAACTTGAATTTGCAAATCGAATATTCAGATATCGAGTGAGGAATGACTACGAAGTATGAAGTGCAATTAGTCGTTGAAGTAAGAAGTTTACTTATTGCCATAAGCTATCGAATGTCTGAGTGATGATTATTCTTTTTCTTAATGCCTATTGTGATTCTTTTGCAAAACAGGATTAAAGATGCAGCCACAGTCAGTATCTAGACTAGAATGTGAACGTTATTGATGATCTTAGTAGAGTGTATTAAGCCAAACAAGCTGAATTGTTCATGATGGCACATCAAACGGGAAAAAACACTGAGCACCGCCTCGTTTTCTCTACGGCTGCCCATCGCAAACCAGCGGCCAACATTGAACCATACGAAGGTGGTGTGCGATTCTGAAGTTCTCCACGCCGTAATTGACTATTCATTTTTGAGCCATATATTGTCGACGTTTATTTTGGATCGTATTGTGGTCTTGAAAGATGTACGAGGCGCGTGTGGTTTAACTGCAGGAAGAGGAGGTGCTAGCCTGGTTTCACTAAGCCGCGAGTAAACTGTCCCGGGACAGTGACGCGTTTACCACATATCTTTACTATACATAAATGCACAGGCTTTCTTCTTCGCATTTGTCTTGCTGACCTTCTGGAACCTGGTGTGGCTCAAGATCCATATGTGACCAGGATGAAAAAGGACACCATTACGCTTTTTTTCGGCAGCTCGTTCTAGGATGTTCCATTTTCCAGAATCTGATTATTTTAACGACGCTGATAAAAACAGAGATACAGTCACACAACCGTTACTGACTAAATCTTTCTCTGTTTGTCTGCGCGCATCGTTGACGATCAGTCACGCTTTCCGTGACTACGAGTTACAGTGTGGAGTCTCACGCAACGGGCGAGATAGAGCATCAGCAGTGGCACCTGAAGCTGTTAGTTGTTAAAGCACCGTTTCTTCATTCTTCGAAACAACATTCAAACTTCACAGCGGTATCAACGCCATAGATGGAACTGTGCTCCGTTCGTCCGCCTGTGACTTGAAAGCATCGTCATGGTGGCCGTTGTTTTGTTGGATGGCATGCCATTGCAGTCACGCTGCGGCTGCTTCTGCCTGTGACCGTCGCAGTATTGTTGTTCCGTGTGCTTATCGCTGTATACGTCAAAATGAAGTGTAGGGAAGCGAACAGTTCAATGCAATGTGTGTGAACTTGAGTTTTTCTTTTTGTGTATTATTTAGATTAGTTAGATAATACGGACGCACCCGCCATAATCCTAGTCACTTAAATAGGTGATTAGGATGATGATATGGTGCAGAAATCAATCGAAGTTAGCTTGATTGTATAAACTTACCCACATGACTCCTTGCATCCTTTAACACTCGAACATTTTTTTCTGAATTCACCAAGAAATAATTAATCATTATAATAATTTCAATAATAATAATTATTATTATCTAAATACAAATCGAGAAAAAACAAAATCAGGCACTGTAGGTTACATTATGGACAGAGAAACGTGGTAATTATGAAAGCATCTGTATCTATCGAGACGAGCAATGTGTATGAGGTAAATGGATATCAACCCTTTTCTCATAGGACGCCCATCCTGCGTAGCGCTAGCGTAGAAAACAGACAATTATATAGAGCTCCTGCTCCACATTCTTAGTGTCATTGTTGATTTAATCACTGTAGTTAAGTGTGTTTATTTGTTGCTGTAGTTAGTTTCGTCCCAGAAATTTTACCCGGCCGCCGATAAATACATGTATTTTTCGGTTAAAACTAAGAGAAACCACTCTTATTTGTTTGTGGCTTAAAAGCTAAACGAGGTGACAGCGCTGAGCCTCTGCTGTTGACATTGCGCACTCAGTCTTATCCAGTCATCACTAAAAACTCGGCTCTATCCATTTTAATTTTGTTCTGATTGAAATAAGTCTATTATTATAAATTTTATTTTGTTGATGCAAGTTGGTTTGTTTTATTGAGTGCATCGAATTTTGTTTTATATATATATGTATAGGGGTGATGATATACGAGAGTGTTATATTTTTACGTACTGCATCCTAAGCTTACCAAATCCGATTCGAACAACGGTGACCTCGGTTTGTTACGATTTACCTAAACTGAAAAGTAATTCGTCGGTCGACCACTAAGCAGCCGACTGTGTTCTTTCTAGCAGCATCGTAATAATGGCCTAATAGGTATCGGAAGCTCTACTAGGCAAGGGGCCAGATAAGTAAGTACAATGGCCGACTTTTAAGGTGATCGAATGCAATTGTCCTATATGAGTTACCCCTGCTGCTGCTGCTGCTGCTGCTAATCATATTGATACCCACCCGCAGTAAACTTTGTGTTCTATATATTCTTACTACGATGCGCCTGCTAACGCGCGCGTTGACAGTGTCGCTTAATTATAGCTACCACAATGAAGTAACTAGATCCTATGTCACGAACCTACTCACGGAAACGGTGAAG